TATCACTACAGAAGTAGATTGCCCCATCTTCCTTCCGAGGAGTTGCTGGTGGATTTGAACCACCAGCCTTCTGGTTAGCAGTCAAGTGCCTTTAGCCACTATGCTACCAGAGCTCCCTGAAAATACCATGCATATGGACTGCCAGAAGAATGAACCAATCTGTCTGGCAAGTACAGCCAGAAAACTCCTTAGATGCTAGAATGGCCGCACTTCATGCTTTGGTCACATAGTCAGGAGGGGTGTCTGCAGGACATCATGCTTGGTAACGTGGCGGGTCAGCGAAAATGGAAAAGACCCTCAAGGAGAGGGGTTGACACGGAGGCTGCAACAACAGGCCTCAAGCATAGCAAAGACTGGGAAGGTGGCCCAGGACCAGCAGTGTTTCGTTCAGTTGTCCACAGGAGTCGGGGCCACTCAGCAACAAGCCTACGGAGCTTCAGCTTCACACGTGGGGGCCGGACACTCTCCCTTAATCACTCACCCCTCATCAGCCATGCCAACGCCCACAGCTACCCTGACATTAGGAGGCATCGGCTCGAAATCGCACTCTCTAAACAGAGGAACGTGATTTATTGGTTTCTGCATTTCGCCACAGCTCACCCCGGCTTCCATCCCAGCCTGAGATGTGGAAGTCAAAGGCAGTCAGTGCAGGGATTGAGGAGACGGTGCACACCCGGCGGCGGCTCCCGGGGCACCGGAGCACTCTGGGTGCAGCAACCCAGTTCCGTACTCCTCGCCGAGCCCATGGAGGCGAACGGTCACGTCGAGCTCCTGCGCAAGAGAAAAGGCACCAGCGCCCACCGGGCCAAGAGCAGGCTCATGCCGACTTCCCACCGCCGCCACTACCATCCATCCAGTTTTTCCTCCAGGTCACGTTCTCCTGAGTGGCCGCTGCCTCCTGCAACGTAGCCAGCAGCAGCTCCTTGGTACTGGCTGCCTCGGCCCTGCGCTGTGGGTCCTGCGCGGGCATCTCCTGCAGGCCGAGGAGGAGGATCGAAAGTTCCAATCACCAACGCAGCACTCCGCCCGCCCGCCCCACCTCAGGACTCCTAAGTCTCCCACCTTGAGCATTACTTGTGTCCTCTGTTCTCCCGGGGTCACGAGAGCAAAGAGCGCGGAGCCCACGCCAGCTCCGGCCCCCAGGACTGCGCCCACGAGCAGCGCCTTCCGCATGACCTCCGTTGGGGACCGCGCGACCAGCGAGGCGGCCTTGCACTCCTCCAGCAGCCTAGAAGGGTAGCCACGTTCTCCCCCGCTGCGCAGGCTAGAGCGGCCCGTATAGGAAACCATAGAGAAGGGGCGGGATAGAGAGTGCCATACGTTTACACCTTAGAGCGCCGGGTTTTCAGCGGAGGAATGTGAGGGTGTCAAGACAAAGTGTTACCACAATTTAAAAATAAAGAGGAAATGTTGGCACCGAGGGCGGAGCGCAGGGCCCACAGTCATCAAATCTGGTGTAGGCTGCTGTTTATTGTACGATTGCCTACTGTTCAGCCCTCCGAAATCTCCCAGTCAAGAGAGGATTGTGTTCTGTACTTTCCTTCAATAACGTGTGCGGTCATCAGACACTTAACACACACAACCCATTGACAACCTTCTCCCTTCCAGTACACCCCCCCCCCAATCCCTTCTACTCTTGAACAGATAAAGGAAAAACCCACTGCCGTGCAATCCATTACAACTCCTACCAACCCTGTAGGACAGTAGAACTGCCCCACAGGGGCTCCAAGGCTATAAATCTTTACAGAAGCTGACTGCCACATCTTTCTCCCGCGGATCAGCTGGTTGGTTCAATCTCTGACCTTTTGGTTTACAGCAGAGCGCTTTAACCACTGCACCACCAGGGCTCACGGATAAGGAAAAGAATAGCTTTATATACTTTTTCTTTATAAGTAACGGTTGTTTTCGCGTGGTGTATCCTTGTCAGATTTTCTTTCTTTTTTTTTGAAAGCATGAAACTCTGGATTTCTTTCTGGATGGCATGTAATATACCAAATTTAGCTTGAAGAATATGCCTCTTAGCTGTGTGACTCTGGGCAAGTCTCTTCCTCCGTGCAGCCTAGAAGGGTAGCCACATTCTCCCCAGCTGCGCGGCTAGAGCGGCCCATATAGGAAACCATAGAGAGGGGGCGGGATAGAGAGTGCCATACGTTTGAGTGCCATACGTGCCATACGCAGTGCTGTGCTTTGGTTTCTGCATCTGAAGATGGGGCGAATAGTACTTATCTCATGTTTTAGGATGATTAATTAAGTTAGTTTGTAAAGCATTTAAAACAAATAAAAACACCTTGTAAGTTTTCTTTAAATAAAATACAAACAAACATGCCAGCTCTAGTGTCAGGATATTCCAAGTTCATTATCAAAACTCCTCACCAAGTGTTAATCCAAATGCCCTTTCTGCTCCAGGGAACGAGTAACGAGCCTCCTGTCCCACCTCTTGAGCAGCGTCCCCTGTGCTAGAATGCCCATAATCTCCTAGCATGCCATCCGCCTCTCTGAAGAAGTGATTAAGGGGCCGGGCTCTAAAGAAGATTAAAGATGCAGTCTGTAGGGTGCACTGGGCAGGGGTACACTACTCTTGAGTTGACTCCCTCTGCAATCTAAGAATTACCACCATGGCCCTTGTGCCAGGGAGCAGTGAGGAGGATGGGCCTTGGCCTAGAGGTAACCCTGAAAGTCCCAGGCTGACCAACCCTCTCAGGCAGGACACAGGAGACACTGCCAGGATTGATGAAGGTCACCAGGATGATCAGGTTAGTACCTCCCCACCCTCTGCCCTGCTGCTCACTCACCTTCAACTTGGCCCAAGCCCCCTGCGGTCCCCATTCAGGTTGTATCTCCTAAGTCCCGCCTGCCCTCCATTGTGGTGGAAGCCGCTGAAGAGAGTGAGGTGCTCCGCTGGCCTCAGGAGGAACTGCTGCCACTCACTGACAGTGAAGGAGAGGCTGAGGCCTTCTTCCAGGACCCAGATGAAGAACCAGGTGAGGGAGGTGGTTGGTTCAGTGGGGCCACTGTGACCTGGGTGTCCTGGGCAGGTCAAGATGGAAAACTCAGCTGTGTCCCTTGCATTCAGCAATGCCAGGCACACAGTAGGTGCTCAGTAAACATAATGAAGATGGATCTAGAGGCAAGAGAAAAAAAATCAAGGGAGATGGCAAAGTTGGAGACTATCAAGAGGGCAGCAGTGATGTCAGGACTGGGGATACTCTTTTTATGGTTTTAATATTTTAAAATATTTAATTTTGTTGTGGGGGGAAATATTACACCCAATCCTACTACTTTCTAGACATTTTTCCATGTTACAGAAGTTATATTTTTTGGCACATTTACCTGATTTTCAGAGCAGTCCAATAAGGGAAATAATTTCCCTTTATCAGAAAACCAAGGCTTATTTATGTCACAATCACTAAACCAAAACCAAACCCACTGCCATCCAGTCAATTCCGACTCATAGCGACCCCCTTTAGGTTTCCGAGGCAGTAAATCTTTACAGAAGTAGATTGCCCATCTTCCTTCCGAGGAGTGGCTGCTGGGTTTGAACCGCCACCCTTCTGGTTAGCAGTCAGATGCCTTAGGCACTATGCCAGCAGAGCTGTACTACTCCTTAACAACAGAAAAATTAAGATTCACCTTATAATCTTTTAAAAATTCAAGAGTATCTTCAGGTAATGGGCTCTTTTAACTCCATTTCCCTTCCAGTGTGGGCTTGGAGCCCACAAGACCCCAGATCTCCGTTAAGAACCCCTATCCCAGGACTCGGCTGGGGGCCAGAGCAGGAAGAGCAAGATGCCTCCTGGATTCCCAAGGAAGTGGGGTGTCAGGAAGCTCCCAACCTCTATCCTCTCTGGGACCTGGCAGCGGGCTCTCAGGTGCATAGAGGCTGCTTTACGGAATCTTCCCATCTCCTGCCTCCCAGTGGCTTTGAGGGTAAGTACCATTCTCTCTGTTACAGATGAGAAAAAATGAGGTTTAGAGGTTAGGCCACTGGGTCATACAAGTCAATCAGTGCAAGGATTTGGATTAAGAATTCCTGCAGCTTTTAGGAGCTACTGTTAGTTGAAGTGGAGGATGGTTCACTTGTATTTTGTTCAATACTCATCTTGTGCTCTGCTAAGTGTTTTACATGAATTATTGTAATCCCCATAACTTCACTTTGTCGATGAGTAAACTAAGACACAAACCAATCAGTAATACTACACCCAGCTAGTAAATGTGGAAGCCAATAACCAAATTCTCACTTTCCAGCCAGCCATCTTGCAAAGACAAAGCTGTCTTTAACCCACAACGAAACACTAGGGTGAGGACTAAGGTCTTTAATGAGAGCTTTGAACCAAGTACGCAAAATAAGTGAGCCCCCTGAAAGGACCCAGCTCCTGCACAGTCACAGTACAGCCCTGGGACCCTTGTTCCAAACAGGGGAGCCGTACATCAGGGTCCTCATCTGAGAACTGAATAAGGGTCCCCCGAGGGCTCAGGACCCTTAGGCACTCTGACAGCAGCTGGCAGGCCCCAGGCAGACCGCCCCGGGCAACAGCATCCCAGGTGCCCTTGTCCAGCACCAGATGGAAAGAGCCTGAGGGAGCCACTGGCCCCAGGTTCTGGACATCAGCCTGAACGAAGTGGATGCAGGAGGCTGGGTGCGCAGGGCACAGGGGCGCTTGATCTTGACCACCCTCCAGGAGGTTGTTCATGTGGGCCACAGCCACCGGAGAGAAGTCTACCCCTAGCACATCCACGGGGTGCGGGTACTTGGTGTAGAGACCTGTACACAGGTTGGAAGTCCCACAGCCCACGTCCAGCACCCGCAGCGGACAGGTAGCCCGTGCCTCCTGTAGCAGCGGCAGGAGGAGACTCTGAGCTTCTTCGTATCCAAAGAACCAGTCGAAGGTGGGGACGCTGCCCAGACGCGGTTGGGCATGGAGCCGATCCCAGAGGTGTCGGTCAGCCAGGCAGCTTCCAGCCAGGGAGCCTGTGCACGCGGGTGGAGGGTTATCTGTCACCCGCCGTCCAAATTCTAATGGGACCCGAGTTCTAATCTCATTGCTACAAAAACTGTGCCCATTATACACGTTGGGGTATTAAGAACTGCAGTTCTAAAAACCAGACTCCCAGGTCGCGAGGAAATTTGCCCAACCACTCAGTCCGCCCTCCCTACCCAACGCGCGGCGCGTTCCACCCGCTACCGTAGCCACGTGGAGGGTTCGGCACAGAGCCGCCATCCGGGGATCGGGGCAAGGTCAGCCAGGGATCTTCCGCGAAGTGCAGCCCGCCAGAGGAGCGAAAGGCAGGACGTCGGGGGAGGTGGGGGCGGGTCTGAGGTGCAAGGGAAGATCTGCAAATTCCGGGTCGCAGGGAAACGCGCTATCGCCTCCGCGAACTCTGCAGCCTCGTAAAAAATAACGCCGACACAGACCGACTATGGAGCGAACAGTCTTTATTGGTGACAACGGGACGTGAGACGGAGAATAGACAGCTCCTGCATCAGATGCGGCGTTCACAGTCAGAGTCCTGAAATGAAAGGAGAAGACGTGAGCACCCCAGGGAGAAGCCCCGGTTCTACCCAGGTCCTCGAAGTCCCTTGTCCCGGCGCTTGAGGATAGAACCGGCGGACGGAAAGCCGCCAGCACCGAAGACATGACGCCGAGGGGATCGGAGCCCTCTTCCTCTGCCTCCGCACATAACGGGGACCGGGATCGCACGCCCGGCCCCCGCCAAGAAAAGGAGGGTGTACCTCCCGTTCCGCGTCCCAGCCAGACCTCCGGTAAAACCCATGCTTACTAACCGACAGTTCTCGAAAAGACCTGCAGGGCTGCCTAGTTCCTTTATATAACCCCTGGGACACGCCCCCGAACTGCGATTGGCCGCTAGAGAGCCGAGGGACGGGACCGCCGCTTTGACACAGTCGGGAGCGGAAACGCAGACGCGGAGCCGGCGTAGCTGCGTAGCCATGGGAGCTCCTGGCGGGAAAATCAACCGGCCCCGGACGGTGACTGCGTGGGGACCCCAACCTTGTTTCCCCAAGCGCCCGCCCTGCGTCCGCTCCAGCAAGCCGCGGGCTGCCTTCCTCTCTCCTGAGATGGGATTGAAGGGGGCGGGGGTCCTGGGCCGCCGTGCGCAGCCTCCGCGTGATTCGCACTTCCTCCCTGGTAGGAGCTGAAGAAGAAGCTGTTCAAGCGACGGCGGGTGTTGAACCGGCAGCGGCGACTGAAGCACCGGGTAGTCGGGGCTGTGATCGACGAAGGGCTGATCACGCGGCACCACCTGAAGAAGCGGGCGTGAGTGCCACACCCTATTTCCCCCGCTGCTCGCCGCGGAATCCTTCTCCCTCCTCCCTGCCCAGCACCGGAGCACCTCGCTCCTCCCTCTTTTGCCTGTGCACTCAGGTTTATGCAGGGGACCTCTGTCGGCTCGGTTTGTACCCAGACTCTGTTAGCCTATCACAGTAACGACGGTACACTTTTCGTTGGGTCCTAGACCCACTAAGAATCTAAGGAAAGTTTTCGAATGCCCCATCCCCCAATTAACGTACATTCACGTAGACTTTTCTAAGCAAAGTTACACTTAATTACAGAAAAGTACGCACATAAGGGTGAGTACAGCGAGATGGAGTTTCACAAAAATACAGTGTCAGAGAAGCTTTAGTCACAGAGCCCAGGTTTCCAAACAGTTTTGTAATTTGAATCCAGAGACCTTTGCAATAGACAGAACCACTTGTGTGGCCTAGCTCACAAAGAACCGGGATTTCTTTGTGCCTGCTTACCTTCAGAGTCCCTGGGTGACACACTGTTAAGCGCTTGACTGCTAACTAATAAGTTGGTGGTTCAAACCCAGTCGGCTGCCTCAGAGGAAAAGCTTGGCCATCAGCTTCTGAAAGGTCACAGCCTTGAATATCTTATGCAGTGCAGTTCCGCCCTGCACCCATGGGGTCACCATGTGTGGAACTGACTTGGTGGCGACTGGTGTGGCTTGTGGCTCTAGGTCCAGTGCACGTGCCAACATTACTCTGTCAGGGAAGAAGCGCAGAAAACTCCTCCAGCAGATCCGGCTTGCCCAGAAGGAGAAGGCAGCCATGGAAGGTGAGGGGGGAGCTGGGAGCTGGGATGAGGAGGGGAGGTAGTACATTCGACTGGGTTCTTGAATGTTTCCTCTTTTCTTTTGCTCAGTGGAAGCCCCCCCCAAGCCATCCAGGACTAAAGAACCACAGCTCAAACGCCCGAAGACAAAAGCCCCCCAGGATGTAGATATGGAAGATCTTGAAGAGGAGACCTGAATCCCTCACTCCTTCTACCACAAGTTTTCCCCTGGAGCCAGGAGGTTGCATTTCAGTGGACTTTGGAGAAAGCATTGTCCCTTTCCACTCCCCAGGTTCCCCTCATCCTTAATGGCCTGGTGTCCTCTCCTGGAGGGAGGTGCTGGGAGGGAAGAGGGTAGAGAAGAAAGACTGCAGGGGGCATTCTGTTGCCACCTTAATAAAGCCCTAGAGTTCTGACAGACGTGTGTGATTAAATGTGCCAACAAGACAAAGGGGAAACGATCCACAGAGCTTACTTGAGCAAAGGCAACAAGTAGCCACCTTTGTGATGACCCAGCCTCCCTAGGGGAGCTCTGGTGGCATAGTGCCTAAGGCACTTGACTGCTAACCAGAAGGCTGGTGGTTCAAACCCAGCAGCCACACTTTGGAAGGAAGGTTGGGCAATCTACTTCCATAATGATACCGCCTTGGAAACCCAAGGAGAGGTCACTATGAGTCAGGTCTGACTTCATGGCACATAACAACAACAGCCTCCCTAGTGGGTGACATGTAAACCTTGCAGCTTTGACAAAAATAAAGATTATTGTAGGAATGAGAGAGGCGGTAAGAGTGGCCTGGCCACTGCCCCAGTGTGACCTGGGTGAGCAATTCCCTCCACTTCATTTTTTTCTATGCTTCCTTTGCCTTAATATGTGATACAGTCGATTTTTTTAAATGAGCTCCATAGGTATTCCTGATGCTGTATGTTACACAGCTGCTGTATAATTTTTTCTGAATTCCCTCTTGACATCTGGTACAAAATATGTTTCCAAAAAGTGTTTGTTTCCTTCCTTAGGGAGAAGGAAGGTGTGTTGTTTGCATAGTAGTAGCAGCATCAGAACCTGTCTTGACTTCAAGGGGGATAATGAAAATCACCATCAGCCCAAAGCTGATTCATACAAGGTGGTGATCAGACACACCTCCATTCTCCCACGTTTATGTCGGTTCTGACACCAGTCATCCCCTCCTCAGCACTCTACTTTGCTGGGTTCAAGAATTTGCTGCAGTGGTCACATACAACTCACAAGCCATAAGTGGTTTATCAAGGAAGGTAACAAGTGCAGCTTGGGATCAGGAAGAATATAGGCAAAATCTGGAAGGCTCCCCAAAGAGCAGAATACATCCCCTTCTTCAGTGCGGGACAGCTCTTGGTTCCTCTCCCCAGCAGACAAGCCGAACCGTCTGCTGTGTGGGACCTCTCAACCATGCAGGCCCCCCTGCCTTCAGCCTCCGTGCTGTCCACCTCTGCTGCTAACTGACCCAGCTCTGTCAGCGATGTTCCTAGCAGCACATTTCTGCAGTCACCACCAGCTCTGCCACAGGGCCCTTTCTGGGCCTCTCACCGCCCTCAGTGTAATAGCGATTGACTGATGATACAGCCCTTTTAGGAGGTTCCTTGTCTTTCTCCCTGCTGCTTTCTTCTGCTGCTGTTAGCTGCTTGAGAAAATGGGTTGGCAACATATACAGTATACACAACCCCTTGTCAATTTTAAGGCACCATCTCCTCCCAGCAAGGGGACCACGAACTGACTAATGGCCTCTACTAGTCTTGTGGTGGTGTAGTGCCTAAAGCATTTGACTGCTAACCAGAAGGCTGGAGGTTCAAACCTACCAGCTACTCCTTGGAAGGAAGATTGGGCAATCTACTTCCGTAGAGATAACACATCAGAAACCCAAGGAGGGGTCACTTTGAGTTGGAAATTACTCCATGGCAGTGAGTTTGGTTTGTTTTGGTTTAAGTCACAGACACTACATTGCATAGCAGGCTATAGACATGTAATTTGTATCATTTATAGTCACAGTTTGCATAGTATATTGACCAATTCTGGCAAAATGCATACCAATCACAGGGCAGGCTGCAGCCCAGGACCAGACAAGAGGTTTACTGTTGACCCAGGAAATGTCAGTCAGCCTGGGTGTTCTGGTTACCTAGTGCTGCTCTGACAAGAATGTACCACAAATGGGATGCTTGAACAAACAGGAGTTGATTCTCTTACAGTTTGGAGACTTTCAGGAGTTCAAAGTGCCAGGCTCTAGGGGCTGTGTGAAAGCCCCTCGACCTTAGACTTTAGCTCTGCCTCTGGCTCCCGGCCCACTGAAGCTTGAGGCATTTCTTCGCTCAGGCAGCTGCTGGCTGCTGAGGCTAACAAGCCCAAGGTCGACAAGTAAAATGGCACAGTCCTGATGCCAATCCACATAGCAGGCCATTAATTCAAGTCCATTGAAAGTCCCAAGGTCAGCAGAGCGTGGCAGCCTGCTGAACAATGATACAGCTACATGCAGGGTCCAAGCATGCCATAAACTAGAGACCATTCTCAAAGCTGTTTCTTATATATGGGAAGCAGCCCACATACCCAAAGCAGCTACTCAGCTGCTCCAATAGAGTCCACCATAGAGTTAATTACCAATCTCACCATGGGGAATAACTACATTCAGCTGCCCAACCACTCAACCAGGCTCCACCAACTTGACACACAAACTTAACCACACCACACTGGGAGGAAGTAACAAACCCTCTAGGGTAGAAAACTAGGGTGAAAGTAACTCCTCTGGACTTAGGGGGACATTCTCTCAAGCTGTTTTCCCAAAGAACCAAAACAAAAGGCACATAAAGGAACTTATTTCACCACAAACTGAAAAAAACAAACAAACTTGCCGCCATCCAGTCAATTCCAGTTCATAGCGACTTCCATTAGGTTTCTTTATGGAAGCAGACTGCCTCATCTTTCTTCCACAGACTGGCTGGTGGGTTTGAACCACTGACCTTTCGGTTGGCAGCCAAATGCCTTAACCACTACACCACCAGAGCGCCTTTCATTCCACCGCAGAAGGGCATAAACATGCAGTGCTAACAGCGTGTGCCGAATCTGCCCATCCTTAACACCTAATTCAAGGGTCAGCTCCTCCACATAATATTCTTCCGACTACTCCAATCTTCATTTATTGTCTTTTCCTAACATCATTTCACCACAGCAGATGGCTAAACAGACATTGTTACAGTGGGAACTCATTTTCCATCCTACCTCCCCAGTTAAACCAAACCCACTGCTGTTGGGGTGACTTTGACTTACAGTAACTCCATAAAGAGCTTTGGTAGCACAGTGACTAAGACATCTGACTGCTCATCGGAAGGTTGGCTCAAACCCATCAGCCCACTCCATGGAAGCAAGACTGGACAATCTACTTCTGTAAAGATTCACTGCCTTGGAAACCCAATGGGGGTTGCTATGAGTCATAATCACCTCGGTGACAGTAGGTTTAGGGGTTTTGGTTTATAGTAACTCCATAGGACAGAGTAGAATTTCCCCATTAGGGTTTCCAAGGCTGTAATTTTTATGAAAGCACACTGCCATATCTTTCTCCCGCAGAGTGGCTGGTGGGTGTGAACTACTGACCTTTCGGCTAGCAGCTGAGGGCTTAACCACTGCACCACTAGGGCTCCTTCCCTCCTGCAGTGCAGTGAATTACTTAACATGGACCTTCTAGCCATAGTCTTTGTAAGTCCCACCAAATGACTAAGTAGCACTATGCAAATGTAAGGTGCTTGTGGCCCACCAAGGGGATTGCATAGCTTGTTAATAATGTGAATAAAGTACACAAGTACACTGGGCTCTTGTAGGGGCGAGACTGTTTAAACAAGGTGTGTGGAACCCTAACATGGGGATTGGCCAGTTTGCCATCAAAAAAACACCAAACTCACTGCCATGGAGTTCTTTCCGACTCATAGCGACCTTTCCTTGGGTTTTTGAGGCCCTATCTCTATGCAAGTAGAGTGGCTAATGTTCCTTCTGAGGAGTGGCTGGTGGGTTCAGCTAGGCTTAAAATGAGCCACCCACAAGCAGAAAGGGACTCTCACTAACATCAGTGAAGAAGCCAGGAGTGGAGTCCATCCTTTGAACCTGAGATCCTTGCTGCAAAAAGGACACGAGGGTGACATCTTCTGACCTTCTCCAACCTCATGAAGGTGAGGCAGAATCACCATTAACAGCAGAAGGCTTATTCCTATGAGGCCAGACATGCCACCACCCTCTAGCCTTTCTACCAACTCTGACACCAACTGTCCCTCCCATGGCACTCACTACTTATCTGCTGGATTTGATACTTCGTTGCAATGGGCACATAGAGCTTACAGACAATACTCAAGATTACGGGGTTTAGTAGGGAAGTAACAGACTACAATTCAGGTTCAGGAGGTGCTCAGGATACAATTCTTCAATCCGGACAGTCTCCCCTCTGCTGTGCCCTCAGGCTCGCCTCTCTGGCCCTTGAACTCCCAGCCTGGCCTCTGCCTTGTTTGGGCAAGTGTTACAAACCTCTTTTAGCTCTGGCAGTAGGTACACCTAGGTGCACCCCACTGCACCAGCAAGCCTCCTGCCCAAGGGCACGCAGCTTTCTCATTTAGTGGGCCAGGTAAGGCTGCTGCTCTGTCTCGTGCCTCTCGGTCCATCGCTGCCATGTCTCTGTCAGGACGTCTCTCTGCCAAGGTGTTTCTCCACTGGGGCATCTCTGCCAAGGAGGTCCAGTGCAGGGATCTCAGGTCCAAGGGTGTGCTCCACTTCACCTCCAGTTCATCTCTCTTGATGGCAGTGAGAGCCCCTCTTCTGCTTTTAGGAAGGGTCATGTTACACCAGGCAGAGTGATAAAACTAACCAATCCTCATATTAGAGGATTGCATGGTCCCACCCTGTAATCTGCTGGGAGTAACAAAGACTATGACTAGAAAAGCCATACCAGGTAATTCACTGCACTGCACCACACCTACACTGGACTGCCTCAACCCAGGAGACAAAGAGAGAGCTGTAACATTTTGCTGAGACGGCCGAGAGACAGTGGCAGCAAAACAGCAGCAGAAGAGATGCAGAACCAAGAGAGACCACAGCAGACAGCTTGCTGACCCACAGACGAAGAACGCCGAGTGCTCTCGGGCAGGAAACTTGTTGGTGGAGCGGGGTACCTCTCTGGGCACCTATCAGCAGAGC